CCATGTACTTAGGATATTAGTCGTGGCAAAGCCTGTGCTGTTTACACGATGGAATCATTGTAACAAGTCATGTTATTTTGTTCCTGGGTTGAATATTTCTGTCTACTGACAGATCAGAATGTTTGTCTGATAACAATGATTTACCTGCCTCAGGTCTTGAGCATGTTGTCTTTAATGAGGAGCTGTGTGACCATTTCTCAAGGTATCCGTTTACTGTGAGCTGTTATCTGGTGCAGTATTTATGGTCAATATTCCCCATCATAAATGTAGAACATCTCAAGTTTTTTTTATCCATCTCTCACTAATATTAATTCATTAGCTCAGCTGTCCCACTGCACACTAACTATGGGTCTGTATTTGCTCCTTGTTAAATTCTCTGTATCAGAGATTTACTTACTTATTTGAATCAGTCTTCCAACAATCTCAACCCCTACCCTTTTGTGGATTAGAAGGAGCTTAACCCAACCTGTATTCTGTCCTGATGATTTGATGGGGGCAGTGTACAAAGGACTTTACTCTTTAAATAACCCCTTGCTGTACCTCTCCTGGAAATGTTTGGGGACAGTGTAGAGGTATCTTTACTTTGTTTAAAAGTGTAGAGAAAGCTCTACTTTGTTTAAAAGAGTAGGGGGAGGTTTACTTTTTATGTAACCCTTGTTCTGTACCTGCCCTGAGGGTGTTCGATGGGGACAGTGTACAGGAAGCTTTAGATGTTTTCTAATTCAGAGATGTTATTACACACATCTGGAGCAGATGGGACTTGAACTTGAGCCTCCTGGCTCAGTGGTAGGGACAGTACTGTGAGCTTTACTCTGAATTTAACCCTATGCTATATCTGCCCTGGGAATGTTTGGGGACAGTATAGAGTGAGTTTTGCTCCAAATCTAACCCCAACTACTTGTCCTGGGAGTGTTTTATGGAGACAGTGTAGAAGGAGCTTTATCCTGTATCTTATTGGGAGGGCAAAAGGTTTTAGCAGGCATAAAATTTGATATCCTAGGCCCAGAAGAGATTAGTCCCAGGCTGTTGTGGGAGGCAAGGGGAGGAAATTTCTTAGAACCTGATATTAATTTTTAAATCCACTCTGGCTGTAGGAGACGTGCAGAGGACTGGAAGGATAGCTAATATGATATCATCATTCAAGAAGAATTTACATTTTAACCAGGGAACTAAAGGCCAGTGAGACTAACATCAGTGGTTGGGAAAGGTTAAGAAATCATTGAGGGACAGAATTAATCTCTGCTTGGAAAGGCAAGGATTAATCAAGGATAGTCAGCATAGCTTTGTCAAGGGGAGATCATGTCCGACAGGTTTGATTTAATTTTTCAAGGAGATAACTAGATGTGTAGATGAGAGTAGTGCAGTTGTTGTAGTCTATGTAGACTTCAGCAATGCATCCGTCAAGATGTTGCATGGAAGACTGGTCAAGAAGGTAAGAACGCATAGGATCCAGGGCAGTTTGTCAGTTGGATCCATAATTTTTTTTTATCTATTAATGGACTAAGTGCATCGTTGGCTAGGACAGCATTAATTGCCCATCCCTAATTGCGCAGAGGGCAGTATCAGAGTCAACCACATTCCTGTGGGTGTGGAGTCACATGTGGGTCCAACCAGTTAAAGATGGCAGTTGCCTTCCCTAAAGGATACTGGTGAACCAGATGGGCTTTTCCATTAAATATACAATGGATTCATAGTTATCATTAAACTCGTAGTTCCAGATTTTTATTTTTAATTGAATTCAGTTTCTGCCATGGTGGGATTCGGATCCTGGTCCCCAGCACATTACCTAGGTCTTTGAATTAATAGACTAATGATAATGCCAGTGGGCTGCCCTCACCATCACTAAATGAGTTAGTGGCAGGAGGCAGTGGACCAGTGGCAAATGGGATTCTGTCCAGAGAAGTGTGAGATGGTGCATTTTGGGAGTACAAGATAAATGGCAGGACCCTAGGAAGTACAGAAGATCAGAGGGACATTGGGGTATGCATGACCAGAATTCTTGAAGGCAACAGAGCTGGTAGAAAAGGTGATCAAAAAAATATGAAATATTTGCCTTTATTAGTTGAGGCATTGAATGCAAAAGCAGAGAGGTTACGAGGGAGGGTTCAGACCCAAAACATCAGCTTTCCTGCTCCTCTGATGCTGCCTGGCATGCTGTGTTCATCCAGCTCTACACTGAGGTTATGATGGAGTTGTGTATAACACTGGACCACAACTGGAGTAGTGTGTGCAGTTCTGGTCACTGTGCTATGGAAACAATGTGACTGATCTAGAGAGGGTGCAGAGGAGATTCACCAAGATGTTGCTTGGCCGAGCAATTCAGCTTTGAAAAGAGACTACATAGACTGGTGTTATTTTCTTTAGAGCAGAGAAAGCTGAGGAAAGACCTGATTGAGTTGTACAAAATTGAGAGGTGCAGATAGGGTAGTTGGCAAGAAACATTTCCATGAACGAGAGGAGTCAATAAAAGGGGGCCTAGATTTAAAATTGGGACAGCATGTTTAGGGGGAATTTAAAGAAGACATTTATCACCCAGAGGGTGGTGGATATCTGGAACTCACTGCCTGAAAAGGTGTTAGAAGTGGAAACCATCACAACATTTAATGAGCTCTAGGAAGGTCATTACATACAAGGCTACAGGTCAAGTGCTGGAGAATAGATCTCGAGTAGATAGGTGCTTGATGATCGGCACGGATGCGATGCGTCAAACCTATTTCCCTATTTTCCATGCTGTACAACTCTCTGACTCCAATCCCTTGTTGTAGCTGTCCTTCATAGGGACAGTATAAGGGGGATAATGTGTTTACTTTGTTTAAAAAAAGAGGGATCCAAGCTGGTGTGCCACATTTCCCTTGTCCCATGGTTCTCAGGAGCACTGACCTTATTGGCCCTTATCCTGTCTCCAGCAGTTCTCTGTTATTTTGCCAAATTGCTATTAATCTGCAGTTTTGGATGGGTGGGATTTGCTTTTGTCACTTCATATGTGAGTCTTTTGAAATCTGAGCTGCACAATAAACTGTTTTGCTCCTTTGGTGTTGTGTTTTTTTTTTAAATCAGCCTAACCATCTTCTGTTGATGAACCAAGCTGCTTCATCAACAACCTTCCCTCCACCTAAGGTCAGAAGTGGGAATGTTTGACAATCATTGCCAAATGTTCAGCACCATTCGCGACTGAAGCAGTCTGTATCGAAATGCAACAAGATCTGAATGATATCCAGGCTTGGGCTGACAAGTGGCGAGTAACAGCCGTGCCACACAAATGCCAGGCTATGACCATTACCAATAAGTGATTACTGCCTGTTTACCCTCACTGAATTCCCCCGCTGTCAACCTCCTGGCGGTTACCATTGACCAGAAACTCAACTGCACTTGCCACATAAACACATTGGCTACAAGAGCAGGTCAGACATGAGGAATTCTGTGGTGAGTAACACACCTCCTGATTCCCTAAGCCTATCTATTATTTACAAAGCCCAAGTCAGGAGTGTGATGGAATAGTCCCCTCTTGCCTGGTTGAGTACAGCTCCAGTGACACTCAAGAAACTTGACACCATTTAGGACAAACCAGCCTGCTTAATTGGCACTACATCCAGAAGCATCCATTTCCTTCAGCACTGATGCTCAGTAGCAGCAGTGTGTACTGTATCCAAGATGCACTGCTGAAATTCACCAAAGATCCTCAGACAGCACTTCCCAAACCCACAACCACTTCCATCTAGAAGGACAAGGGCAGCATATAGAAGGGGAAACACCACCACCTTAAAGGTCTACTCCAAGCTACTCGCCATCCTGACGTGGAACTATATTGCTGCTTCTTTGCAGTTGCTGGGTCAAAATCTTGGAATTCTGTCCCCAGTGGCATTGTGGGTCAACCTACAATAGGTGGACTGCGGTGGTTCACCAAGGCAGTTCACCACCACTTTCTCAAGGGTAACTAAGGACAGGCAAAAAATGCTGTCCAGCCAGCGATGCCCACCTCCCACAAATTAATTTTAAAAATCAGCAATTCACAGGCAACAGCTTGGAACTCATGCCAGTCCCTGCACCACACAGACTAAAAATAATAATTCCTAGAAATTGATCCTATTGTCACTTATTCCATTTGGGGCTGGGACTTGCCGCCTTGTTTTCCAATTAGTTTCGGACAATCTGATCTTTTTCTAAGCATAGTGGTTAGTGCTGCTGCCCCACAGTGCCAGGGACCCGGATTCAGTTCTAGTGTTGGGTGATTGGCTTTACGGAGTTTGCACGTTCTTCCCATGTCTGTGTGGGTTTCTTCCCACAGTCCAAAGATGTGCAGGTTAGGTGAATTGGCCATGCTCTTTTGCCCATAGCGTCCAGGGATATGTGGGTTGGTGAATTAGCCTTGGGAAATGCAGGGTTAAATGTAGGGTGGTGGGATGCTCCTCAGCGGGTCAGTGTGGGGATTCTGTGTTTTTCTCTTTGTATCTCATCGTCTCTGCCCTTCTCTCACCCAGTTTCCCGTAATCGTCCCTGTTGTACCTTCCAAGCCCTTTCTGCCTTTATCTTTCTTTTTGCTTGTTTCTGTCTATTTCTATATGTTTCCTTTTATCTCTGACTGTCTTTGTCTCCACAAGTCTTTGAATTGTTCTGCTTTATGTTTCTGCCCCAGTTTCCCTCTGTCCTCCCACTCTGACTTTGTCTCTAGCTTCAACTTTTTTTGTCCTCTATCCGTATCTATCTTTATCTTCCTCTATGTGCCATCAATTTCCATTACTCCTTTCTCTACATCACTCCTTTCTCTCTCTTTCCCACTCTTTATCTTTCTCCTACCCTCCGAGTCTCGACGTCCCTATCTTTCTCATTCTTTCTGCTTCTCTCTTTCCCGGTGTGTGCCTCCTGTTTCTATCTCTTCTGCCACTACATTCCTCTTTATCTCCCCCGAGCAGCAGATGCGGCTTTCGGTTGTGTTGGTATTATGAGGCGCTTGTTGCTGTTTGTCGGTCACTATAGAAACAGAACACGCAGTTGTACGCAAGATGGATTTCACATTGGATCACGGAGAGGTACCAGGAGAGAGGGACTTGAGATGTAGATGGGAGTGGGGGTATCGAGACAAAGGGAAAAGAGCGACAGGGAAAGGGAGGTGTGGGGTGGGAGGAGAGGGGAGATTGGAGAACGGGGTAAGTGAAAGGGAGAGAAAGAAAACAACAGAGGTGGGGATTGGTGAGAGACAGAATAGAGAGCTAGAAAGTAGGAAGAGGGTGAATAAGGAAGGCAGAGGCATTCGGCAGGAGCGGGGAGGAGGGAGGAGAACCTTATGGAGAGACAGTAATGATATAAATTGGTATCAGTTGTTGGTTTATGACAGACCAGCTGATTTACTTTTGCAATGTTTTTAGAGCAGAGTGAACAGTCCAGGAAGATTGACGGATTTTTACTTGCAAACCTGCGCAGAACTCAAAAAAAAACCCAACCCATACATTCAGGAAGTGATTCGCCAGACTGACCGCCTCCCACCAGGGTCAGTCTGCACAATACTTAATCACTTGTATTAAATTTGCAAAGAATATTACCGCTAGTAGTAAACACTTTTATATGAGTGACAGAACGATCAAGGGAGATGGGGGTCATTAAAGTCCATACGTTGTAATTGAAAACAAATGAACTGGGGTGGGGGGTGGAGGTCTGTTAAACAAGCATTTTATATCTGATCATAGAAGAGGGAGAGGATGAAATATGTATGAACAAATGAATGAGCGGGTGCAGGAGGAGGCCATTCATCCCATCATACCTGTAGTGACCGATATAACTGACTTGCTTAGATCCATGGCCCAGATTTTTTTTTTGTTGCGTGTCTGTGGCCCCGTGAACTGTTTTTCTTTAATTCTCAAGTCCCTGTCCAACTCATGTTTAAGATCATTATGGAATCATCAGCTCTGACCATCTTTTTCAAATTGCGTGTTCTATCATACATCACAGGAATAACTAAAATGAAGGGATTATTCAGTTTCTCTATCTTCAAATTGTATCCAATGATTGATCTGTGTCTTCATTTTATCCACACATCTGAACTCCATATCTCCAAGATAATTATTAATAGCAATTTCAAGTTACTAAGTTATTAACTATTAGTTTTCGTGGTAATTCCGTATTTCTGAACTACATGGGAGGTGTTTCTGACTTTTCCATGAATAGCTTGGTTCTAAAGTCTGTTTCCTGGACCTATCAATTAATTTAAAAGTCTTAACGATGTCAATCAAATCATCCCTTATACCTCTCTATTCCAGAGAATACAAATTTCTTCAATATCTAATCCTTGGCGTTCACACCAAGGCCAAAATATCTTATCTAAAACACGTTGCCTAAGAGTGAACATGGTACTCCAGATGTGTTCCAATCAGAGTTTTGCAAAGCTGTAACAAAACTTTCTTCCTATTATATCACAGTGTGTGAGCTATGGTTGATATGTAACTACTGTGACAGAATGGTAGTTTTACTCTACAGCTAATCTAGAGGTTTAGACCAATGATTGAGAGACATGAATTCAAGTCTCACAATGGCAGATGATAAACTTAAATTCAATCAATTAAATCAGGCTAGAATAAATATCTCATCATGGTTATCTCATTTACTAATGTTCCTAATAGAAAGAAATCTACAGTCATCACCTGATCTGGCCTACATGAGACTCCATGCCAAGGGCAACATGGTTGAATCGGAACTGCACTTGGAAATGACTGAGAAAGCCATACAAATTGATAGCTTAGTCCCTTGCCTTGTGGAACATTCCCAAGTGCATTACCTCATACTCTTCTGAGTTGAATTCCATTGGCCAGCTGGCCAAAGCATTGTTGTCCACTTGCAGTTTAAGTTTATCCTCCTCACTATTTATCACCCTACCAATTTTCATGCCATTCACAAATCTCTCAATAATATCCCCTACATTTAAGTACAAATCATTAATATACAACACAAACAACAAGGGTCTGAGCACTTGAATAAATTGTAAAAAGCTCAGTCTATCACTGATCTCTTTGACACACCACTCATTGCATTGTTGTCAACTAGAAAATGACCCATTTGTGCCTACTTTCTGTTTTTTTGCAAACTAGCCAAAGTTTACTTTTTAGAAGTAACATTTATGTCACAATTGCTAGGCAATGACCAATGACCACTCTTTGATGTTTCATGACATTACCATCACTGAATCCTTATAAACAATATCCCATGGCATTACCATTGATCAGAAACCAAACTTGACTGGCCATATAAATATTGTGGCTACAAGTGTCAGTCAGAGGGTAGGAATTTTGTAACAAATAACTCACCTGTCTTCTGAATGCCTGTTCACCATCCACACAGCACTGGAATACTCAATAAGTTTGACACTATCCATAACTATCCAAGCAGTTTGCTTAATAAGTACTCCAACCAACACTTTAAATATTCACTCACTTTTCCACTGACACAGTGACAGCAGTGTGTCCATCAACATGATGCACTATATTCACAAAAGGTCCTTCAACAGTACCTTCCAAACCTGCAACCTCCACCTTCTAGAATGACAAGGCCAACAGAAACATGGGAACCCCTCCATCTTCAAGTTTCCCTCTAAGTCACATCCCATGTTGACTTGCAACTATGTTGCTTTTCCTTCACTGTTGCTATGTCAACATCTTGGAACTCTCTCCCTATCTACACTGTGGGTGTCCCTAGACTCCAAGGGCTGTGGTAATTCAAGAAGGCAACTTACCACCTCTTTCTCGAAGGTAGTTAGTGTTGGGCAAGAACAATGTCCACATCCCATGAAGAAATAAGTAGTAAACTTGCATGGTAAATAAAAGCAGATGATAAAAGCTTCAACAACTATGTAGGAGAAAAGAGTAAAATTAATGAAGACATAAATAATAGGTCCCCTACAGCTTATGGAATGCAAGGAACTAGCAGATCAATTAAAAAATTACTTTAGTTCTATCCTCATAGACGAAGTCACAACTTCCCAGAAATTCAGGGAATGAAGAGTCTAGTCAGAAGGAGAAACTGAGAAATTGATGTTTAGTAAAACAAGTCCTGGAGAATTCTACCTCGGTCTCGTCCCAGATGTCCCATTGTAACAATCAACCTAGATTAGATCACAGTTCAGCTTTTTAGGTTTTACAAAGTAGTTAGACATCATCTGACACTTTTGATCACCTGCAGAGACTTATTATCCAGCATGTGGACACTCCGCTCATACCATTTGTATGATCTTTTGATCTCTCTGCCTATAAACTCTGTGCTTCACTTCACCGGATGAAGGAACAGTGCTCCAAAAGCTTGTGATTTCAAATAAACCTGTTGGACTATAACCTGGTGTCATGTGACTTCTGACTTTGTTCACCCCAGTCCAACACCTACACCTCCACATTAAGGTAATTAGAAACACCAGTTTTTGGAAACTATGCCAGATTCCTAAGAACTTCTTTTGATAAAAAGATCTTAGCAGAGAGACTTGCAATTGCACTCATAATAGTTTTTAGCACACAACATGCTGCTGATTTTATTCCTTGATAAAACCTTTACATCCAGAAAGTTCCATAACTTCTAATTTTTCGATATAATCTTGAAATATAAGTATGTTATTCCCAAAACTGATGTTAGGTATTGGATTGTCATTCCCTCTTATCTCTTTCCTTCCTGTCTTATATAGTGGAGGTACACTTGCTACTGTTCCATCTGCAGGAAACTATTTCTGAGACTGTAGAATTTTGAAACATGACCACTAGGGTTATAAGAATGGGAAATATGAAGATTTGGACAATTTTTTGTTTGCAAATGGTTTGTCGTGACTTTTTCAAATGCAGAATCAAATGGTCAAGAGAACGGGGGATTGCCTGCTGATCACAAAAAGTCAAGTGACTTTGGAAGAAAAGCTCTTAAAAGAGAGATAAGAAAATGCTTAATGGTCTATGATTGCTAGACAAACAACCTGAGCTTTGGAAGGGACAAGGTGCTATGTATTGTGCCACAGACTTGAGAATTGCTGTCTCATTCTTTGTCTCTTCTCTCTCCTTCTCTCCCTTTCTTTCTCTCTTCCAGTGAGGTAACCTTAAAGAAACCCAGCTGAAAAGCTGTCACAGTATTTTCTGGGTACTTTAGAAAGTTCCAGAAATCAGTATCTCCAATCTCCTAATAGACTGTGGCTAATGATCTCTCAACTCAACTGACCTTTCACGTTACTGAGAGTCTTTCATCGCTTTGTGACCAACAGCAATTGGAGGTTTTTAGTATCTTGCTCTATGAAGACAGGCAGAAATATCCTCTTAATGTCTGCATTTCCTTATGGTTGATTGTAAATTTCATTAACACTGCTTGTCAAACTAGTTGCTGCTGACCTTTTCCTTTTACATATACATATAAGCTTTTTCAGTTCATTTTTATTTTTTTTTGCAAATTTACTTTTGCATTCTCATTTCCCTTTATTATTTATTTAATACTCTATTGATTTTAAAATGTTCCTTCAGTAAGGATATTTAGTTAGGGTCACTATATTTAGTAATAAGTTAAATAACACAAGACAACCATATATCCAAGTTTGCTAAATATGTGCAGAGTTGGTGACAATGTTCACAATGTAGATGGTGAAATAACTCTTCAGAGGCCAGCATCCCATCACCAATCACCCTTTATTTACAAATGCATAGCCTTTGACAAGAGCACTGCCTCTCACTCAATCAGACAATCAGGGGGCCCAATATTCTGGCATTCATATTTTATGTCAGCCAGATCTTCCTGACTGGACCTGATTAACAGCATCAATCAGAAAACTCATCGTCAATGAAGTCCAGCTGACTGACTGCATTACAATCACTACAGATGGCAGTATAAAATTACAAAGATGCAGCAATTTTTTTTTGAGTGAATGACTTACTAAGTATGTGGTTATCCATTCTCAACCAAAAATGGAAAGATCAGTTTACACAGAGATAGTAAGAACTGCAGATGCTGGAGTCAGAGACAACATAGTGTGGAGCTGGAGGAACACAGCAGGCCAGGCAGCATCAGAGGAACAGGAAAGTTGACGTTTCGGGTTGGGACCCTTCTTCAGAAAGGGGGGGGGGGGGGGTGGGGGGGTGGGGGGAAGGGATCTCAGAAATAAATAGAGAGAGGAGGGATGGGGCTGGGGAAGGTCGTTGGGATGGTGATAGGTGAGTGCAGGTAGCGAGTGGTCTGGATTGGTCAGTGAGGTGGGAGGTGCGGATAGGTAGGAGAGAAGATGGACAGGTTGTGTCAGATCAAGGAGGCAGGAATGAGAGGGAGGGTTGGTCATGGGATGATGCCGGGGTTGGGGAGATTTTGAAACTGGTAAAATCCACATTTAGGCCATTGGGCTGTCGGCTCCCAAGGTGGAATATGAGGTACTGCTCCTCCAGTTTGTGGGTGGCGTCATTGTGACACTGGAGGAGGCCTAGGATGGACACATCACCCAGGGAGTGGGAGGAGGAGTTCAAATGGTTTGCGACTGGAAGGTGTTGTCATTTGTCGTGAACAGAGCGCAGGTGCTCTACAAAGCGGTCTCCAAGCCTCCGCTTGGTCTCACCGATGTAGAGGAGGCCACATTGGGAGTAGCAGATGCAATAGACCACATTGACAGATGTGCAGGTGAACCTCTGTCTAATGTGGAAGGTTTGTTTGGTGCCTTGAATGGAGGTGACAGGGGAGGTGTAGGGGCAGGTGTAGCACTTCCTGTGGTTTCTGGGAAAGATACCGGGGGTGGTGGGGCTAGTGGGGAGTGTGGAGCGGACGTGGGAGTCATGTAGAGAGCAGTCCCTATGAAAGGCAGATAGGGGTGGGGAGGGAAATATATCTTTGGTTGTTGGGTCAGATTGTGGCAGAAGTGGCAGAGAAGGATACGTTGGATATGGAGGTTAGTCAGGTGATATGTGAGCACAAGGGGGATTCTGTCTTTGTTTTTGTTGGGGGGAGGGGATGTGAGGGCAGAGGTGCGGGAAATGCATTTTTGATCACTGAAGAGGGGGAAGTTGCTGTCCTTGAAATAAGAGGACATCTGGGATGTGCGGCAGTGGAACACCCCATCTTGGGAGCAGACGCAGCAGAGGCAGAGGAATTAGGAGTAGGGGATCACATTCTTGCAGGAAGATGTGTGAGAGGGGTGTAGCCTAGGTGGCTGTGGGAGTTGGTGGGCTAGAAATAGATGTTGGTTTCGAGGCGGTCACCAGAGATGGAGACAGAGAGGTCCAGGAAGGAGAGGGAGATATCAGAGATGGTCCAGGTGAATTTGAGGTTGGGGTGAAAGGTGTTAGTAAAGTTGATGAACAGTTCAAGCTCCTTGTGGCAGCACGAGGCAGCACCGATACAGTCATCAATGTAGCGGAGGAAGAGGTGGGGGATGGGGCCAGTGTAGCAGCGGAAGAGGGATTGTTCCACATATCCTACGAAAAGGCAGGCATAGCTTGGGCCCATGCAGGTTCCCATGGCCACACCTTTAGTCTGTAGAAAGTGGGAGGAGTTAAAGGAGAAGTTGTCAAGGGTAAGGACAAGTTTGGTTAAGCGGATGAGGATGTCAGTAGAGGGGGACTGGTAGGGCCTGCAGGAGAAGAAGCGGAGGGCTTTTAGGCCATCTGCGTGGGGAATGCAAGTGTACAGGGATTGGATGTCCATAGTGAAGATGAGTTGTTGGGGGGCCAGGGAATTGGAAGTCTTGAAGAAGGTAGAGGGCGTCGGTGCTGTCCAGGACATAGGCGGGGAGTCCCTGGACCGGGGGGAAAGGATTTGAAAAGTCAAATCAGACTTGAAAATTTAACTCTGTTTCTCCCTGCACAGTTGCTGTCAGACCTGCTGAATACCTCCAACTTTCCTTGTGTTTGTTTCAGATTTTCAGCATCCACAGCGTTTTGCATTTATTTTAGATCAGCGTACATATTTAATCAAATCAGTTGAAGTACGAAGAGAGTTAGAAGTCCCTGTAGACAATAAATAACATATCAGTGTCAGGGCAAAAAGATACTCAAAAACTATAAAAGTTTTATTTTTACTCGTTCGCTGGATGTGGGAGCTGCTGGCTTGACCAATATTTGTTGTCCATCCCTAATTGCCCTTGAGGAGGTGGTGATGAGCTGCCTTCAACTTGATTATGTTCAGCATGTTTATAGTCACAGTATTTATATGGCTAATGCAAGTCCATTTCTGGTCAATGATAACCCCCCAGGATGTTGATAGTGAGGGATTCAGTGACAGTGATGCCATAGAATTAAAAGGGTTGTTGTTAAGATTCTCACTCATTGGAGATGGTAGTTGCCCAGTACTGCGTGGCATGAGCGTTATTTGCCACTTGTCAGCCCAAGTCTGGATATTGTCCAGATCTTGCTGCATTTGGAGATAGACTGCTTCACTATCTGAAGAGTTACGAATGGTCCTGAAGACTGTGTGATCATCAGTGAATGTCCCCACTTCTGACCTTATTACAGAGGGAAGGTCATTGATGAAGCAGCTAAAAATTGTTGGACCTAGGACACGACCCTGAGGAAGTCCTCAGGGATGTAGGGATGTGCTGGGACTGGGCCAACTGATTTGCAACAACTACAACCATCTTGGTTTGTGCTAGGCGTGACTCTGGATAGTCTGGCTTTTCTCAGTCTGGTCACTGTCTGGTGCCAGATGACTTCATGTCCAGTATTTCTTGAATTAGTCCAATCACTACAGGTAACAATAGCAGGACCTATGCTTGTACCTTTCCATATTTGTAGCACTCTTAAACTGAATGGAGTAGAGGAGACAGAGATTACTTTGCATTCTCCTTCTCCTTTTTCTCTCTCATTTATGTACTGGCAAATGACCCTGTATCATCTCAAACTGCAATGAATTTCCAGATGTAATAGCATCATTAGTGAACTTCGACACTGTCTCACTTACCTAATAGGATACTGCAGGATGAGGGCACAAAGCCTAATGGGCCAGAGGAGTCCTATACTTTCCAAAAAAGAATAATGGAGCTAGACTAAAGACCCTTCTGACAATTGTAGACAGTTTTAGGCCCTTCGCGTTCATTAGACCAAGCCTGCCGTGATGAGGGAAAATAGTCTCCATACCAATTGATGCTTTTAGTTTCTGATTTTATTCTGGATACTTTGTACATTTTTTTGCAATTTGTGGAGAAAGCTTCTTTCTCATTCCATGTCTGTGCTTAGGTCATTTTTCAAGGTAGACATGGATGAGCTGCTGGCAGAATTCCTCGGCCCAGTCTGCAAATCTTGAACCCTAAACACCCAACTGACAAAAGGGAAATATTTCTTGCTCAGAATTGTTGAATGGTGAACGTGATGATCCTGATGAATGGACCACTGTCTGACAGCCCTGCTTTAGGCATGGCCTGCTGCGGTATAGTTATGAAGGCAAAGAGTGTGTGACAAATCCCAAGTGCCCCAAGTCCGTCAATTGAATTCTGAGGAAGTGCCACCGGACCCGAAATATTAACTCTGATTTTTCTACACAGATGCTGCCAGACCTGTTGAGCTATTCCAGCAACTTCTGTTTTTGTTCATCAATTGAGTTGTCTGCCCTTTCCCTGTAGGACTATGTATGGGGGATTCACATTGACTCTCAATGGAAACACACGGCTTTTCCCTAACCATAAACCAACGGATGATGATGCTGCAGTTCTGGTTCATGTCCTACATCGACATACCTATATCACAGGTCAGTCCTGTTCTGTCTAATTCTTAAGATCAAGGTATAACTTTAAATTGATTTTTTTTTGTTGTTTGGGAGATAAGAAGGGAAAGAAACAGTTAGTCATTTTCAGGGTTGCATTTCTGAGCTTGTAGGATCTTTGAGAAATGGAATCTGGAGATTTTTGTTTCTTTATCAGTATTTTGATGAGATTTTAAATCCTTGAGGTGAACAGTTCAATGAACTAAAAAGGCAGGGAGAAAGAAAGGTGTTGTTACCTAACCAGAGAAATCCAGTGTCACAGAGAAACTCAACAATCCAAAAGGTCAGTCAGTCTTTGTGAGGAAGCACGAAAGGACAAAGGCAAGTCAGCCAGACAACTGAGTGAGGGAATTCATATGGGTTTGCTCTGATGTTAAATGTGATAGTGAGTTTAGTTTGCAGTTTGTTTTAGGTGACTTAGGGAGAGACACCAGATGAATGCAAAATGCATTTTGTGACTACACTAAAAAGAAAAATCATTGTAGCTCTACCAGCCTGAGTCTAAGCAAGGAGCTTTAGAGTGAAGATAGTAGTGACTCATCACTGAGATTTGAATATTTACAAGGATATCACTGAGATAAACGAGTGTGAATTTGTTTTTTATATTCACTTGTGGGACATGGGCATTCCTAGCTGGGTGAGCATTTAATGTTCTTGAGAAGGTGGTGATCAGCTGCCTTCTTGAACCGCTGCAGTCCATGTGCTGTAGGTTAACCCACAATGCCTTTATGAAGGTAATTCCAGAATGTTGACCCAACAACCGTGAAGGAAAGTGATATATTTCCAAGTTATAATAGTGAATGGCTTGGAGGGGAACCTGCAGGTATTGGCGTTCCCATGTATCTGCTACCCTTATCCATCTAGCTGGAAGTGGTCATGTGTTTGGAAGGTGCTGTCACAGGATCCTTGGTAAATTTCTGCAGTGCGTCTTGTGGATGGTACAGACTGATGCTACCAAGCATTGGTAATGTAAGGAATCAATGTTTGTGGATGTGATACCAATCAAGTGTACTGCTTTGTCCTGGATGCTATCAAGCTTCTTCAGTGTCATTGGAGCTGCACTCATCCAGGTCAGTGGCGAGTGTTCTATCACACTCCTGACTTGTACCTTGTAGATGGTGGACAGGCTTTAGGGAGTCAGGAGGTGAGTTATTCACTGACGTATTCCTCGCTCTGATCTGCCGTTGTAGCCACTGTATTTATAAGGATATCCCAGTTCAGTTCTGGTCAATGATAGTGGGTGATTTAAGTGATGGTAATGCCATGGAATATCAAGAGGTGGTGGTAAGATTGACATAGGAACTTAGGAACAGGAGTAGGCCTTTCAGCATCTCGTGCCTGTTCTGCCATTCAATGAGATCATGGTTGACCTAAGACCTAAGAGTCATACAGTCATACAGCATGGAAACAGACCCTTTGGACCAACCACTCCATGCCGAACAGAATCCCAAATTAAACTAGTCCCACCTGCTTAACAAAAAACTTATCAATTTCAGATTTTCTGAATGTCTTATTGAAAAAGAAATTACCTATTTCTGATGTCTGGAATGAAACTTTTTCAACTTCTTATTTTTTTCGTGTAACATAGCTCATGTTTTCTTTTTTTTTGTGTTAAAACTGCACTGCCAGACTCTTGTAAATATATTCAGTACTTGACCTCAGCTGTTTAACAAAAGACAAAGTTAATGTCTATCCAAGCCACATAACTCTCTGGAATCTGAATTGTCCAGTATTAATATCAGCTGGCATCACGAAAAATTGAATCAAAGTTTAGTCTTAATTTAACCTGTTAATCTCACTCAGTTTGTTTTATTCTATAAACTACCCCGATGCTTTTGACAGTTTTCTCACGCAATACGCATGGAACCAACTTGGAATATTAGTCATTATAGGTCTAGTATTGTGCAGTGAGGCTGGATTAATCAATAAACACATAGGAAAAGATCCACTGGGAAAAAGTGATCGTAATACAATTGAATTCCATATAACGTTTGACTGCATTTACAAAAAAATCTTAAACTTAAATAAACTTAATTGCGTAGGTATAGGGAGAAAGTTGGCTAAATTGTTTAGATAAATAGAACGTAAAGTAAAGCAATATATAAAAGATGTGAAATATTTATGAAACAATTTGTAAGTGTTTGACAAAAATAGATTCAACTGAAAAACAAAACTGGACAAGGCTGATCCAACTATGACTTACTTAAGAAGCTAAATGTAGTATCAGAGGAAAAGTAGAGGCTTGTAATGATGCAAAGACTTATCTGAGAATGGGGACAGTCACGCGGGCGCGGATCGATAGCTGCAGAAGGTTCTGGAAAGCGGCCGATCAAAGTGATGGTGAAAGCCCTGAAAGGCCGTGAGGCGTCCGCTGTGGAGGAGGAGGCGTCCGTCAGGGAGTTTAAAAATGAAATCTCCGAACGATTCAAGCAAACAACCAGCATAAAATTGATATAAAGGATAGATTACATTTCTAAATTCGCCAAGAATATAAAACCTGTTTCTAAATGCTGTTGCAAGTACATAAAAATGATGAAAGTAGCTAATGTAAACATGATATATTTGAGCAAAGACAGAAGAAATTACCAGAAGGAGTGAAGAATTGGCAGGGACATTTAAAAATATTTGCATCTGTCTTCAAATAGAAGGTAAGAATAACCTTCCGGAAATCAGGGATAAGCACAAATTTAATAATAATGAGGAACTTAATGCCATTAATATCAGAAGGAGGAAAAACACTGGAGAATCTTAAGAGACTAAAATCCAACAAATGCCAGAACATGTAGCCTGCAGTCTGGGATTTCAAAAGAGAAATCTGCTGTGATAATGGATGCGCTGCTTATGATTTTATAGAATTTCCTGAACTGTAGAAGTGTCCTAGCAGTTGGCAAATGGATACAACTACTGAAGGGAAGGACGAAGGGAAAGACTGTGATCTGCAGCCAGTTAGCCTAATATCCGTCATCAAAAAAGTACTGGAATCTTGGACGAAGGAAGTCTTAACAATGCAATTAGGTTAACGCAGCGTAAACAAACAAACTCTAAGGGTGGAATTATGGAGAGGACGAAGACAACTATGGCTCAATTTGTGGCAGAATTGGATAAGAAGCCTAGTAAGGCCTAACTCAGTGTCAGGAACAATTTTACTATTGGTGTAGATGGGGAGATGTAATGAGTTAGTGAGTAGGCAGCACAGAGGACATGCAAGGTTAGTGGATATGAGGATTGGAGTGGGTGATAGCAAGGTACACTTTATGGTCTTCTCAGGGATAAGTCAGGCGAATGTGGTTGAGAAACATGTCAGCTGTGATATGGTCTTATGGTAGGGAAGATGTTTCAGGCACTAGTGAGAGTGGTAGAGCCTTAGTGGGAGGTTTGTACAGCAGCCGATAGAGTGAGGGTGAGGTATCAGAGAGAAGATGGTGGCACTTACAATGGCGGACTACAGAAGGTGATTGACCGTCTTCCTACATTGCTGGGCCTTCCTCCAGATGCAGAGACTGCTTTAACCAGGGTGGCAAACCTTGAACTAAGCTGGCATGGTCTGGTGTGATGGCCTCCATGGATGGTCCTGAGGAACGAAGAAGTTTTACCACTTCACCACTCCATCCAGTAGAAACTCCAGGCCACTGCTTGCAGTGGGGAAAGACAACCCTTGTCTGCCATGTCTGGGGCAAGTGTCAGAAACCATGCAGAGCAGCTCTGTACTGACAGTACTTGTCCAGGTGCGCATTGGGCTTTTAAAGATGGTGTGGTAGCAAAGGATGTTGGTGAATTCTGGGGTGTCCGAGTTGCTCTGGGAACAGTCCGTGGTAAGGTGAGGCTGGAATTGGATATGACAGATACCAATAAGTGGGATAGGTTGTTACTGATGCAAGAAACCCCACAATACCTCACAGCTCAAGACCCTCCAAAAGTATCAAAGCAACTCAAACTTAGCCAACAAAAACATAAGATTCAGCCCAAGATAGATGTAGGAAAGGGAAATCATGATTGACAAAGTTATGGGAGATTTTTGAGCCTACAGCTAGTTGGTCGAAAGAAGTGGAGCCAATAGATGTGGTGTACTTAGACATCCAAAAGGTATTCAATGAGGTGCCAAACAAAATTTAATATACAAGATTAATGCCCTGAGAAGTTGAGAGCGATAGCATGGATTAAGGATTGGTTGATGAACAGGAAGCAGAGAATAGGGATAAATGAGATATTCTGAAGTTGTCACTTGTGGAGTGATGCAAGGATCAGCATACAAGCTACATTAATGAGTATTGCTGTCAAAAAACACATTTTGTTGAAGACTGTTGCCTTGCATGCATCAGGGAAATTAACAAGAATATTCATTTAAAGAGAATACCAATAAATTGATGAGAGGAGGGTGCTAGTTGGTTGGAAAGTGGACTCTAATTGGTACAGGTCACTAGTTTGGGCTGTAAAGTGGAAAGTACCATTCATGTCAGGCAACAACTGTATCTAATAGAAGTGAATTTCCTCACGACACTTAATGGCATTACCATCATTGAATTCCAACTATCAACAAGCTGGGAGTTACCATTGACCAAAATAGAACTGGACTAGCCAAAGAAGTACAGTTGCTATAAGAACAGATCATTTTAAGTGCTATTTACACAGCTGCTTGTGCAAGCTGTGAGGGAAAATTACAGATGGTCTGGGCCCAGGGGCTTACGTACAAATAGAAAATTTTCTGGCAACAAGCAGTTGATTGGTCTGTGGGCAAGTGACCAGTTATCAAAGATAAAGGCCTCCTACCTGCCAACAATCTCTTAGGTAGTTAAACAGTTTCGGGGTGTGAATTGTTGGGACAGAAGATATCAGACCTCTGAAAGGAAAGGGGCTGTTTTTGCCCTGCAGTAAAATGCAGCTCAAGCCTGAAGGTAGCCAGTTTATTTCCCCTCATCAGTTGCTGTAAGCTGTGACTTTGAATGAATGATTTAGAGACCATTGTATGTGTGAACCAGTAACCCTGCGCTTTGTTAAAACAACTGAAAATACCAAGAGAAGGAAGATCGATGAGTGACAAACCAAGAGGATCATTTCAGTGAACCTTGACAGGTACCGATGAACTGCTTTCCCTGTTGTTCCCTGTGCCATTAACACCCATGTTTTCTTTTCTGTCTCTATATGTCTGTTTATGTGTGTAAGGGGGTGTATAAGTCAGTTAGAGTTCTAAACAGTAGTTATATGGTGATCATTTATAATTATTTATCTGAAGAGAGCATCTATTTGTTTGTAATAAATAGTCATTCTTGTTACGTACAGAAACCTTCTTTCAGTCTTGTAAAAAAGAACAGATAAACTGGGGAGTTCTGCGTATTTTTTAAATTATTTAACTTTTGTGACAACTCCAGGAATGGCAGGGCTTGATTTTCAGCATGCTCTCCCAGTGAAGAATAACAGGATTTTTACAGGGCTATGGGGAGAAAGTAACATGCAGGTTATTACTTTCCAATGGGCCTCTGGGGACAGAGGGAAACAATGGGAGCATTTTTTGTACTTGTACAGGGTGATTGGGAGAGAGCGTGGCAGCAGAATGAGTTTAGGATTGATACAGGGCTAAGTGGAGACAGCAGACCAGTGGTATTAATTTGGGATTGGTTCAGGCCATTGGGAGAGAGTGGGGCTGAAGGCTTAATTTGGGATTCCTCACATGTTTACTTATATAGATCAAGGATGTTTTTTTTCAAGATTGGGATTAGGAATAGAAGAAAAAGTAAACTCTCATGAAGAGTCCTGAGCATTCTATTTTGACTTGTATTTTTTTCAGGCATTGATTTACAATACAGCAACTTGACAAACTGTGGAGCGGAAATGTTTGGAAAATTGCTTCTGGTATGTGTTAGAAGAAAAGCTGGGAAAGGTGCTGGTCTATACAGTGCTATGGGGAGACAGCAGGATGGTGGGATCAGTTTGTGGATTGATACAAGGTCATGGTGAGAAAGCAGGGCGCAAGACTATTTTTGGATTGATACAGAGGTATAGGGAGAGAGTAGGGTCATGGGATTAAATTGGGATTGATAAAGGACTATGGGAGAGAGCCAGGCTATGGGATTAGATTGAGATTGATGCAGGATTGTGGACATAGAGTGTGGCAGTGGGATTAGTTTCTAATTGATACAGGTCTATGGGAAAGAGTAGTGAGATTAATTGGTACATGGTGACTGGGAAAAAGTGGCAGTGGGATTGTTTGGGATTGCTACAGGGCTATGTGGAGAGAGTAGGACGGTGAGAATAGTTTTGGATTGATGCAGGGGGATGACGAGAAGATGGTAAAGTGGGATTAGTTTTGGGATTGATACGGGATGATAGGGAGATAAAAGGCAGTGAGATTTGTTTGCGATTACTATGCGGTTGTAAGGAGAGAGTGGGGCAGTGGGTTTAGTTTTGGATTGACATGGGGTGATGGGTAGAAGATAGGGAAGTGGGATTAGTTTGGAATTGATACTAGGCTATGGAACAGTGCAGAACAATCAAATTGGCATAGAGGAGGAATGAGGCAGTTGAAATAACTAAAGTAATAGATTTCATCAATCTGAATGTCTGAGTAATAATGATGCTTGTGTGAATGTGTCTGGCGACTTCCTCTTGATTGTTATTTTTTTGCTATCATCTTCCAGGACAGCACCACGCTTACTGATCTCAACCTGATGTGTAATGAGATTGGCAGCCATGGAGCTAAATGGTTGGCCAAAGGTTTACAGGTAAGTGTCTGAATCTCTTGACCATCACAGGGTGGGCTTGGAACCAGTCCTGACTGGATAGTTCCATGGACTGTGGCATTGCACGTGGTGCTACATGTTGTACTTGAGTGCCAACTGTCCCCACTTCTAACCCACAGGAAACGTGATAAAGGCCACTGTTTCTCCAGTGTACATTTGTGACAGGATGACTGGTTACACTTGATGTGGATGTGATTGGCCCTTGCAGTGGGGTCACTGGAGTGGAGAGCCAGTGTTTAAGGGATGTTGCCTCTTTCCTTTTGCTTTGGACTGAGATGTTACCTGTGGGATGATTAAAATAGGAATGCAAGCATTTTCCTTGCTAGGGAGAGGTTCAAATGGATCCTGGACTTTGGGGTTGGGAGGTGTTTCAATCAAGCGGCAATAAGAATAAAGGTAAAGGTGCTACATTGGGATTTATCTCTGACTTGCGACCAGAAGTTGCATTATGGGAGATAAAAAGCCAAGAAGTGAAACCTATCAACAAGCTTTATTCACAATTACAAGGAAACAATATTAAAAATAAACCTTTTCATGCAGTTCAACAGATCTCTGAAGAATCTGAGGATGAATGGGAATAAAATTGGCAACAAAGGTGGAATGCACTTTGCTACAATGCTTCAGCTAAACTGTACTTTGGAATCTCTAGACCTTGGTGACTGTGATTTGGTGAGTTGCTCAGTAAGATTCAGTTATATAGACTAATCACAAATGGCCAACCAGCAGCAGCAGAGGATCATTTATGTGATCAAGGAGTCATGGATGCAGTTGCCAGTGAACGCTTGCAAAGAGGAGTAGCTTGAGACTCAGGACTATCTAATAAATACACATGTTAACAATGTAAAACAGTGTGCGTATATGAGTTAGTGTATATTTATATAGTGTGTCTATATATTGTGTGTGGAGCTATATGCCAGTTTGTATGTCCACGTCATGTTTTGTGTGTGTTCATGTTTGTGTGAGTCAGTTGGCTGGACAACTGATTAGCAATGCAGAGTGACACCAACAGGTCAGGTTCATGTCCTGCACTAACTGAGGTTACCATGAAAGTCACCCTTCTCAACCTTGACGTTGGCCTGAATATTGGTGACCATCAGGTTAAACACACCACCAGTCCTCTTTCTAATGAGAGCAGCCCTATGGTCCTATAGGACTATGGCGACGTTACCTTTGTGTCAGTGTGTATATTTATGTGTTCCAGTATAGTTTTGTACATTTTGGTGTGTATCTGTGTATGAATCAGTGCATACCAGTGTGTGTGTTATTGTGTGTTTGTTTTATTAGTTTGACCATGGAATGTGAGCTTAGCGTAGTTGGCCATTGTTATTTCCCATCTCTACTTGCCTTAGCAATTGAGGTGCTGAGTTGGCTTCTTGAACCACTGTTGCTCCAGAGATGTAGAGACACCTACAATGCTGTTAGGGAGGCAGTTTCAGGATTTTGACCCGGCGACAGTGAAGTCTCATATGTTTCCAAGTCAGGATGGTGAATAACTTGTGGGAATCTTGCAGGTTGTCGTGTTCTCAAGTACCTGCTTCTAGATTGTAGTGGTGGTCAGTTTGGAAGGTACTGTCTTTGAATTTCTTTTCTTCTCTTTCAAATTCAAGCTTTTTTCATGTACCATTCTCTTTCCTGTTTAACTTGCTTCATGTGCAACCAAATTCTTTTTAACTTAACTGAATTGCTGTTTAGTTTGCTTTCCCGTTCTTCTTATCCTAAATGCTGTGTTATTACCTCACTTACATCTGCTTTCTTAGCCTGCTTTAAATCTCAACTTCAACTTTGCCTACCAAATTCTAATAATCTTGCTTTTTTTTTTCTGAATCACCCAAGGATAAATCTTCCACCCCCTGAAAAGTCAAAGCCACTGCCAAAGCCAGTTTGATTGAATAATGCCCAAGAAACCAAAAATCATAAAACAGTCAGATTGTTTTTCATGAAATTAGTTCAAAAAATTAAGTCCAGCAATTACCTGGAGCCATGTGGTTTCTAGGAAATGTCTTATTTTAAAAAAAAATCCAATGTGTCTTTTCATTGAAGTTTTAAAAAAAAGTTATCCCCACAATCCTTTAGACTCAAGTCCGCAACATGTTGAAATATGAGGCATAACCTCTGTGATTCTCACTATGTCTGTTTATTGCTTGACTAGTCTGTGGAATGGCTCTCCCAAATGTGGTGCAAGATCCTAGAGGTTACGAAAGAAGTCTTTGTAGAATTCATAAGAGTTGTGTTTGTTATTTCCAATGCCTCAATTGATGCTGGGTTTCATCCCTTTACTGAAGCTTCAGATCAGCATGATACAACCCTGAGTCACTTTCTAGGCCATTTCAATGGTCAGTTAGGAATCTACTACATTGCTGTCTGGAGTCACAAATTGATGAGTTTTCACAATAATTGATTTTAAACTGATGATTAGAATAGCTTCAATTTCAAATTTATCAATTGAATTTAAATTCTCCGAGTTACCATGGTGAAATTTGATCTCCAGAGCATTAGCCTCAGCTTTGCTATTACTAATCCAGTAACATTACCACTTCAGTACTACCTGCGGTGAACTGTCAAGATTTTAGATAATATTGCAACATTTTAACAAATGGTCGCTGAAGAAGTATCCACCTTTCAAGCTAGTTCAAGTTCTTTTGTTTTCTTTCCTGTTTGGAATTGTGTTTTCTGCAGCATAACTTAGTTAATTTTTGTGTGGAATTTTATGATTTTTTTCATTTTGTGTTTTCAGGAAATTCAAAGCCTAATTGCCTTAGCAACAGTTCTGCACCACAACAAATCTCTCAGAGCCATTGATGTAGGTCGTCCAATTATTCACACTATTCAGGTACTGGTGAAAAGTCTTCTTTGCAAATTTTCCTGTTGGCTTGTTATTCCTTCATGGAATGTATTCTTATTGCAAATCATGAATTGATTATTGTCATATTTTAAAATCTAAATTACCAATCCATCTCATCCAGTTCACACATACAATTTGCTTTGTTTGGATTTGAGAACTTGCAGTTGTATCCTTTTTTATTTTCAGTATTTTTGATCAAGTATCCTTGACTACAGATACCCTCAGACATCAGGGACCCTCTGTACTGGTGCTGAGGACTGCAGTCAGAGTGTTGCACTTTAATGTGAAAAAACACTTTTTTGAAGTTTCTTCTCGACCTTCCTTTTTCCAAATGCTTCTACTGGTTTCCAAGAAGCACTGGGTGGTTGTTTTGTGTATGAAAGATCTCTAATTTTATCTAAAATATAAAAACGAACTGTTTTAAAAAACAAAAGTTGTTGAAAGATTGCTGCGCTTTTTGAAGCAAGTGATTCATTGTGAGTACTGTTCACATTGCTATTAATTGAAGCAGTAATGGAAGCATGGTTGTAGGGGAATTGGGACGAATAGATCTTCAGTCAGAAACAAGTAGCCGATTGATCTGTGGACTAATGTCCAGATATCGATGTTAGAGGCCTCCTCCCTGCCTGCCAAAAACTATGTGATCTTACTGGGGTACTCCCTGGAAATCAAACCCCATTATTCTTGGAGTTGTGACCAAGGCTAAAGTTTTTGAAACAAATACACAAAATCCCCAAACTACCTGACTTTCAGACGATAGAATGCATGGACCAGGTTTCTGTACTTAACAAGAAATCACTATTCATTGCAGGTCATTAGACTGTAGCTACAGATAAGCAATTAATTCAATTAAGTAAGCGCTACAAATTAAAACCTAAACCACTTACAAACTGCCTCTTACAGAAACCCAGATAGGAATAAACATAACATTGGTTAAAAAAAAATGTCACATGGTCAGAGGAAAACTGAAAAAAAAGTCTTTGTTCACAAGATCTGTGGGTTGGCTTTTGTTGACCTAGATTTCTCCTCAAGCTTCCTTTTTCCAAATACTTCCAAATACAAAAGACACAGGGTGGTTGTTTCACTTATGAAAGGTCTCTAACTTCTTCAATTCAAAGTCCCAATTTGCAGCATGAATGAAAGGAAAGATAAGCTGGTTTCATTCAAGTTCAAAGTAGCTTACTGCAGTGAACGGAGAGAGTTATTTGGCAGCTGCAGACCTACTGATTTTTCTTCAGTCTGACTATCTTCGCTCTGTAACAAACAGATAAAAAGGAATCTACAGGTCAGGAGTGTGATGGAATACTCCCCAGTTACCTGGAAGAGTGTAGCTCCAAAAACAGTTAAGAAGCTTGATACCATCCAGGACAAAGTAGCTTTGGTTGACTGGCACCGCATTCACCACATACAATTCCTAGTCTCAGTAATCTGGCAGCCTCTTCCTTGAGTCTTAATGCAACTGTGTTTAAATTTTCTCAGCTTCAAATAATCCCTTCAGGATTTTAACCAAACATTTCTGATCTGGAATGTTCAACTAAACTCCTTACATTGAGTAACCTGTTTCTTAACAGTTTTAAATCTTCAGGACAGACTGTTTTATACACCCAACTTTAGCCAAGACTTTGCAAACCTGAACTCAAAATGGTGTTCTTCAAGCTATGGTTGTTTCCTATAAACCAAAATGAAGAATTCTGGAACCTTCTAACTGAAACTTACTGCTGAACTGTTTACTCTGCTTATAAAACTCACCCAATGAAAATAAAACTCCAGGAAGTCTCTTTCATACTGTATTTTTAAAATAAATCATCATGGCAACAAAAGTACTTGTTTATTAATCATTAAACCCTTCAAAGACAAAGGCAAAACTGTAAAGACTACATAATTTCATTTTCTGTACTTTTGATTATCAACTCAATATTTAAAAAAAAAGACTGTTTTAAAACCAGAGATTTTGGAAGGAATTGCTGCATTTTTAAAATAAATGTTACTGAAACTGTTTATATTGCTGCTTTGTTCAAGCAGTAGGGGAAGATGTTTGTAAGTGGCACAGCACTGGCTGTGTGTGCAGTATGAGATATCGAAATATTTATAAATTAATCATTAAACCCCTTAATTGACACAAGCCAAACTCACATTCTGCTTTTGAACAGACCTCTTGAATGTTAATTTTGATCTTTCTCTCTGCACCTTCTTTGTGGCTGTAATATTGTATTCTGCACTCTGTTCTGCTATCCTGATGCACTTTGTATGGTATGATCTGCCTGTATACCACGTAAAACAACACTTTTCACTGTATCTCGATACATGTGACAATAATAAATCAATCAATCAATAAATGATATTAAAATATATAAAAATGACACACCTTACATCACATCCCACAAACGGATCTCGCCACTAGGGTAAACAGATGTTACCTGTTTCCTCTATTCAAGACCTTCATGATTTTGTAAATCTCGATTCTGTTATAAGAGAAATAACCCTTGCCTCCTGTTAATCTGGAATCGATAGCTATCCTCCACTTTATCAACAGCCTGGCCAATTTCCCAATCATGCCTCCCACCACATTTATATCCAAATCATTAATTATACCAGAAATAGCAAGAGACCTAACACTGAGTCCTGTGGAACGCCACTGGAAACTACTTTCCATTCGCAAAAACGTCCATTGACCATTACCAGAACTGCCGATGCTCGAGTCAGAGATAACACTGTGTGGAGCTGGAGGAACACAGCAGGCCAGGCAGCATTAGAGGAGCAGGAAAGTTGACATTTCAGGTTGGGACCCTTTTGTTTCCTATGCTGAGCTAACTTTCAATATGGCTGACCACATTCCCTGTATCTCATGGGCCCTTACATTTCTGACCAAGCTGTCATGTGGGTCCTTGTTAAATTCCTTACTAAAATCCATGCAGACAACATTCATTACATTAGCCTTGTCACTTAATAATGATTAATATTCCTTAATAATATTTATACTCACCAGGATTTCTTCCTTTTGTTTTTGTTTAGGAAGAGGAAACTGTCCACATGGCCCATATGCTTCAAGTTAACCACACTCTTCAGGAGTTGCATTTAATAAAAATGGGAATGACAAACTTTGGAATACAGCAACTTTGTGATAAACTGGTTCACAACCAGAGTCTCCGACTCCTCGATCTCCATTGGTAAAAGATGCATTTTGTCTTTCAATTAGCAGGTAGCTGATGAGCTGAATGACTTCCTTCTTTACAGAAGGATTCAATCATTTGATATTGTGTACTGCTGAGGGAGGGCAATTAAGCAAATTATTGCAATTGCATAACAAAGGCATCTGCGACTGGTAGAATGTTGAGGACAAAGTTAATTACAATTTCTCTCTGGTTGGTCACTTCATCACCTGTCACTGTCACCCACTTTCAACATCCTATGGGTTAACATTGACCAAAAACTAAACTGAACTAACCATAGAAATACTGTGGCTACAAGAGAAGGTCAGAGTTTAAAGCTCCTGTGGCAAGTAACTCACATCATCACTCTCTAACGCCTGTCCACCATCTACAAGTCGGGAGTGTGGTGGAATATTCTCCACGTGTTGGGATAGATGCAGCTCCAAAAATTCATAGTTATGCATCTGTCTTTAATTTCCCTGTAAATTTGCTGTTATCTATCTTGCCCACTAGTTGGTGGCCTAGAGAATGCACCCAGTAGTTTATTGCTCCTTAGCATAAACCACATGGATTTGGTTCTTGTTCTCACTCTATATCTTCATCATCAGCAATATTCTCACCGTCAACAACATTGTCTATTTCTAATGTGTAGAATCCCCTGCCTCTGTCCTGTCTCAGCTTATCTGCTGCTGAAACCATCATCCATGCTTTTGTTACCTCAAGATGTTCCTGTTCTGTTGCCCTCCTGACCAGAATCCTACCCTGCACCCTCTGTAAATTTAAGCTCATCCAAAAGTCTGCTGCCTGCATCTTGATACATCATGTCCCCAGACACTGCTACCACTGATTAGAATTGGTTCCTAGTCTAAGACCATCTTCAATTTATCTCTACTTCACTCCTCATTTAGACTTATTCCTGTAGGTGGTTTGAGAGGTTATGTAGACATTGGGCCGTATGTGAACGAATATCATGTGGATTTATTTCAATATGTACCATATACAAATCATTTAATGTGGTATGTCAGTAACCAGATATCCTCTGATGGAGCAAAGTCTTTGGCTGAGCTGCTGAAACACAACACTCCCTTGAAGATTCTGGATTTGGCTGCCAACAGAATTGAGGATGATGGACTGGTTTGCATTAGTGATGCTCTTCGATACATGAATGATCAGCTTGTAGCGTGAGTCTCAATTCTAATCTAATGTGAACAACAGGTTAATCCAGCATTAAGGAATTTTCCTTGGGGAAATGGGGCTAAGGAACAAACACAAATTGACACACACCTTCGGTATAAATAGGGTAGAAGATCAATACAGGACAATGGTGCATCTTTTTACATTGCGTATGAGAACATAGGGAAAGAATACCATCAAAAATTACTAACATGTAAATGAAAGAGAAAGATAGATTAAAGCAGATACCAAAGAAAATTAAATTGCCAGATAATGTTTTGGGAGATACGGCTACAAGAGCAGGTCACAGGCTAGAAATTCTGCAGCTCATTATACGGCTCTTGACTCCTCAATTTTTATCTATCATCTACAAGGTACAAGTCAGGAGTGTGAAAGAATACACCCAATTGGATGAGTGCAGCTCTAACAATACTGAAGAAACTTGACATCATCCACAATATAGCAGCCTGGTTGATTGGTACCACATCTATAAACATTCACTTCCTCTACCACTGATGCTCAGTAGCAGCAATATATACTATCTCCAAAATACACTGCAGAAATTCACCAAGACTCCTGAGACTGCATCTTCCAAACCCATGACCACTACCATCTAGGCAGACAAGGGCAGCTGATACATGAGAATACCACCGCCTTCAAGTTCCCATCTAGCCACTCACCATCCAGGTTTGGAAATGTATCACTGTACCTTCAGTGTCCCTGAGTCAAATCCTGGAACTCTCTCCCTAACAACACTGCAGGTGTACCTACACCACAGGGACTGTGGCAGTTCAAGAGGGCAGCTCACTACCTCCTTCTCCAGGGCAATTAAGGAAAGGCAATAAATGCTGGTCCATATAGCGACATCCACATCCTATAAATAGACGGTTTAAAAAGATAACAAGGTGCAGGGCTGGATGAACACAGCAGGCCAAGCAGCATCATAGGAGCAGAAAGGCTTGCAGGGCTGGATGAACACAGCAGGCCAAGCAGTATCATAGGAGCAGAAAGGCTTGCAGGGCTGGATGAACACAGCTATTTTGATTATTTGGGAATAACTAATTAAAGAAAATTGGCCTGGATTTACTTTCCATGATAGAGAGCCCCCTGCCCCAGTCAGATAATATGTCATTTCTGTGGGGAAGCGTAATGATATTACATGATCAACAGGCAATCAAGTGGCCAATGTTTCTTGTAATTCACTCGTGAGACCTGGGCATCATTGGCTGTCCAGCATTTCTTGCCCGTCCCATTTCATAGGGCCATTTCACAGGGGACTTGAGAATCAACCACATTGCTGTGAGTCTGGAGTCCCATGTAGGCCAGACCAGGTGACCAAAGTAGATTTCCTTCCTTGACCTTCCTCACTTGAAGGTTACTGGTGAGCCAGATGGATTTTTCCTGTCAATTGACAATGGTTTCATGGTCATCAATAGATTCTTAATTCCAGACTTTTTCTTTTATTGAATTCAAATTCCACCATCAGCCATGGCAGGATTCAAACCTGGGTTGCTAGAACATTAGCGGAGTTTCTGGATTAATAGTCTAGTGATGATACCACCAGGTCATCGCCTCCACTGGGCCTTTTACCCTGCGAGTTGAAATTATGGCCTTCAAGAGCTGCTGAACAGTCAAAAGCTAGCTAGCTTCTAATGCTGGCAGCTGGTTAGGTCCAATAATGGCTCCAGTGATAGCGCAGGCATTAATATTGGATCCTGGGATGCAGGCAATTGGGAGCAGTATGGAAGTCTCAAAGCAAGGTGGCCTCGGAGGCGTTGGCATGAGGTTGGTTTTAATGTTGTCAAGTTCCTCAATCCAATACAGTGCCCCCCCCCCAGCGAGGCCATAGGTAAGAGAAAATTACTGCAGATGCTGAATCTGTACTGAAAACAACAAATGCTGGAGATCACAGCAGGTCAAGCAGCATCCATGCAGAGACAGCAAGCTAATGTTTTGAGTCTAGATGACTCTTCATCAGAGCTGAAGTCAGAATCATCTAGACTCAAAACGTTAGCTTGCTCTCTCTCCATTGGAGGCCATAGGTAAACCCGACAAGATTTGTTAGGCGACCTGAAGGAGGCAACACAGAGCCATGAGATTCCCACTAATCACTGGACCACCCTGAATTCCAGTGTAGAAATAACAAGCGATTGAAGCATGAAACTGAACTGGACTCGCCGTATCAATACTGTGGCTACATGAGCTTGTAAAGGCCATGAATCCTGCAGAGGAGTAACTCATCTCCTGACTCTCCAAAGCCTGTCCACCATCTACAAGGCACAAATCAGGAGTGTGTGGGAATACTCCTCAGTCACCTGGATGACCGCAACTCCAACAACACTTAAGAAGCTTGATACCACTTTCAAAAGCTCCACTAGCAGCACACATTAGCAGCAGAGTACAGCAGTTTTGTCTGGGTTCCGTTAAATTCCACGCTCCAATTCTAATCAATAGGTAGAGAAGGCTAAAGGCTGTATATCTTAAATTTCCTACATCTAAGCTGGATTGATGGTGTTTCTTCAGCCTCAAAGGTGAGTGAGTTGAATATAATGAAGAGATAACAGTGTGGTGCTGGAGGAACACAGCAGGCCAGGCAGCATCAGAGGAGCAGGAAAGTTGGCGTTTCGGGTCGGGACCCTTCTTCAGAAATGGGGAGGGGGAAGGCAGCTCAGAAATAAATAGAGAGAGGAGGGGTGAGGCTGGGGAAGGTTGGTGGGATGGTGATAGGAGAGTGCAGCAGGTAGGGAGTGGTGGGGATTGGTCAGTGAGGTGCGAGGGGCGGATAATGCAAACTGGTTTAACTGGAGCAGGTGTGACAAGCTGAAACTTCAGATAGCCAAAACCCTGAATTCACATCACAAGAAACATGATATCTTGGAATCTGTAAGTCGATTTCATCAGAACATGAAGCTGGAGAGAGAGAGATAACACAGTGTGGAGCTGGAGGAACACAGCAGGCCAGGCAGCATCAGAGGAGCAGGAAAGTTGACGTTTCAGGTCGGGACCTCTGACTCCAACATCGGCAGTTCTTACTATCTCTAAACTGGAGAGAGGTCTGAGATAGAATCACAAGCCGAAGTGGGGGTTGCGGGGAGGGTGTCAGTGTTGAATGCCATGAATCAGAGATCCAGACATCACATTGCTAACTTGTAGGTGAAACCAGAAACAGGGGCAGTGAATAGTGACTCATTAACTGATAGAGAAGATGGGGAAATTTCTTTCATTAAAACAGAAAGTGCTGGAGATACTCAGCAGATCTGGCTGCATCTCTGGTGAGATGATGGTTTAAGTCCAGTATAACTTTTCTTTTTCACGTCTTTAGCGAGAGACATGTGAGAATGTAGAACTGGGGCTGTTTAAAGTGAATACTATCATTGCATTTAAGGAGATGCTAAATTAACACAAGGAAGAAAAGATTTCATGAATATGCTGATCAGGCGAAGAAGAGACTTTGGAGGAGGTTCCACAGGTCCATAGAAAGGAAAAGGAGTCATTCAGCCCATCATGTCTATGCTGATTGAACGAACAAGCCTCCCATTTCTAACCCTGCTCTTCAGCCCTGGTCCCTAGCCTCACAGTTTACAGCATTACCTGCAGATCCAGTTTCTTTTAAATGAGTTGAGGGTTTTTTTCCTCCACCACGAAGCTGGATTGTGAATTCCAGACCTATTATCCCAAAGTTAAGTGGCACAACCAGCACCACATTAAATTAGAACCAGCATTTGCTCATCCAAAGGAAACAGCTGAAGAGTAAATCACCATAAACTCTTTATGCAGCAATGGGAATTGGACCCATGCCCCATAACAACAGGAAATCAAATCCAGCACCTCAAACTACTTAGCCACACTATCTAGTTACACATCGTGAATTAAGACTAGGAAGGACCAGATAGGCTGAATGGCCTGTTTCTGTACTGTGTACAATTTAGGCACAAAAAAAACCTTGGATCCTGGGGATCAGTCACTCAAGTGAAATCAATACATTGTTGTTCATATCAAAAGATATAGATCCACGGTCCACACAACACCATGCTGCAGTTCAGCAGACTAATGTTTCAGAAATGCTGCATCCCTAGCCAAGCAATTCCAGTCTAGCCACCACACTGGTATCTACCTGACAATATGGAAATCTGCCCAGATATGTACTGCACACAAAAAAGCAAGACAACTCCAATGCAGACAATTACTGCCACCATCAGTCTACTCTCGATCATCAATAAAGTGTTGGAAGGGGTCATTAACAGTGCTGTTGAGCAGTATTGGCTTCTAATAACCTGCTCACTGACTCTCAGTTTGGGTTCTGTGAAGACCAGTCAGCTTCTGACTTCATTTCAGCTTTGAATCAAATATGGATAAAACATAGATTCCAGGGGTGGGGTGAGAGTGACTGCCCCTGACTTTGGGGCTGCATCTAATCAAGTGCAGCAACATGGAGCCCTAGCAAAACTGGAGTAGACTAAAAAGGAGGGATATCTCCTCTGGTTGGAGTCATATCCGATACAAAGGAAGACTGTTGTGGTTGTAGGACATCAATAATGTCAGCTCCAGGATATCTCTGCATGAGGTCCTTAGGTTGTGGAGGTGCCAGTGCTGGATAGGGGTGGACAAAGTCAGAAATCACATGACACCAGGTTACAGTCCAACAGGTTTATTTGAAAACACAAGCTTCTGGGGCCTCAGTCCTTCAGGTGTTAGTGAGAGAGGTAGTATCAGACACAGAATTTATAAGTAATAGATCAAAGGTTCACACCATGAATGAGGATGTAATAAACAAACCTAAGATGCTGTTAAATCTTTAATCATTTAGAAGGTTTTAATTGATTGATATGTATATGTAAATCCCCAAATTTCTTTCAAGTCATGCTGCTGAGAGAACTACAGGTTTTATCAGTGCAAAGAAGAGGTGACATTTCAGATCAGACAATGCATGTTAGGTGTGAGACCTTGTTTACAATCTGTTTGTGTTTTAGTTTGGAGTCAGACTGGTTTTATTTGTGTGTGTGTGTGTGAGAGAGAGAGAGAATGAGTGAGAGAGAGAGTGAGGGGGTTGAGAGAGGAGGGTGTGAGTGAGGGGGAGGAGAGAGTGTGTTTGGTTGGGGGGGAACAGAGGGTGTGTGTGTGTGTGGGAGAGAGAATGTGTGTGTGTGTGATAAAACCTTTAGTTCTCTCAGGACCATGACTTGAAAGGAATTCGGGATTTACACATACATATTAATCAGTTAAAACCTTCTAACTGATTATAGATTTAACAACATCTTAGGTTTCTTTAGAACATCCTCATCCATGGTGTGAATTTTTGATCTTTTACTTATAAATTCTGTGTCTGATACTACCTCTCTCACTAACACCTGAAGAAGGACTGAGGCTCCGAAATTTTGCGTTTTCAAATAAACCTGTTGGACTATAACCTGGTATCATGTGATTTCTGACTGAGTTCCCCAAGGTATTGTCCTAGGCCCAACCATCTTCAGGTGCTTCATCAATGACCTTCTCACCATCAAAGAGTCAGAAGTGAAGTGGTTCACTGATGGTTGCACAATGTTCAGCACCTTTCACAACTCCTCAGTTACTAAAGCAGTCTATAGCCAAATGCAGCAAGAATTGCATAACATTCAGGTTTGGGCTGTTAAGTGGCAAATAACATCCTACACAAATGCCAGCTAATATATATGGTCAAAAAAAAATAATGTAATCACTGCCTCATAACATAAAAGAGTACAGTATTTCCATCACCAAAGCCTCCATCAATATCATAGTTCTTAACTCATAAAATTATGAAATAATCATGCTCAAAGTTTTGAAACCCATTTATAGAATTAATTATATGTTTTGTTCCACCAGATTATCTGTGGCCAGGAATAACATTTCTGGCATTGGACTAATGGCACTTGCAAATGCCTTGAAATCTAACAACACATTAACCAATGTCTATGTCTGGGGCAATAACTTCGATGAATCAGCCTCCATAGTAAGATAAAATATATTCTATCTTTTTTGGAATAGAATTAATTGTTTAGTTTCTGTAAAACTATCATCACCAAAGTACATATAGGAGAAAACCAGTCAAGCCCTCAACTCTGTTCTACTAATCCATTAGCTCATGGTGAACTGCATCTTACTCCAATGACCCTTCTGCGTTCCATAATGCTTCGCCAACAAAAGTTGATCAGCCTCAGTTTTGAAATTTGTCATTGGCCCCAACTTCAAAAGATTTTTGCGGCCGGGGTCCCAGATTTGCACTCCCCTTTGTACAAACAAGTGTTTCCCAATTTAACCCTTGATTCAACTAGTTTGAATTTTTGGTTTGATTTGAACTGTTGACCTTTGCATAGTTAAATTTGGGCCCAATCATTAGTTGGGGCTATGATCCAGCTTGTCCAGACTTCATCCGGAGCTAGAGATTTTCTAAAACAAAATTACCAGTAGCTTTGTCTTAATAAGAGTATGTTTTATTCTAACATGAGATGTGGGCATGACCAGCAAGGCGGGCATTTGTTGCCCATCCCCATTGCCATTGTACTGAAAGACTTACTCAGCCACTTAGAGGGCAATTAAGAGTCAATCACATTGCATTGGATCTGGATTCATATGTAGACCAGACTTATCAAGGATGGCAGATTTCCTTAATTAAAACCGAAAGAACTGCGGATGCTGTAAATCAGGAACAAAAACAAAGTTGCTGGAAAAGCTCAGCTGGTCTGGCAGCATCTGTGAAGAAAAAATCAGAGTTAACGTTTTGAGCCTGGTGACCTTTCCTCAGAACTGGAGAGTTCTGAGCAGTTCTGACCGAAATGTTAACTCTGATGTTTTCTTCACAGATGCTGCCAGACCTGCTGAGCTTTTCCAGCAACTTCTGTGTTGACAGGTTTCCTTACCTGAAGGACATTAGTGAATTAGATGCGTTATTTTTACGACAATGGACAATGTTTTCAAGGTTGCTGTTAGGCTGGTTTTCATTTCTAATTTAATAATTATTAATCAAATCCAAATTTCACTAACTACAGTGGTGGGATTCAAACTTATTTCTCTGGAACATTAGTCAGTGCCTCAGGATTATTAGTCTAGTGACATCACCATTACTTCCCTACCTCCCCAGTGTTCGGCTGAATGGCTGAATTTAATCTCCTTTCTTCATTTATCTTCGCTTTTCAGTTCTTCCTGAATTTATGCCAATATCAGGATTGACACTGTGTAAGGTATGAGTGGAAAAGGTTGCGGTTTCAGTGACCTTTTCATCCCGTAGATAGCAAATCAGAAAATATTTTCTTTGATGGGTTGTGAATGTTGCTAGCAAGGCCAGTATTTGTTGCCCATCCCTAACTGAACTGATTGGCTCTCTGAGACATTTCAGGGGGTACTTAAGTTTCAACAACATTGCTGTGGGTCTGGAGTCTCATGTCACCCAGATCATTCAAGGATGACAGATTTCCTTCCCTTAACGAGACTAGTGAACCAGATGGGTTTTTACAGTTGTTGGTAATCTCACCAGTATTGAGACCCATCTTACAGTTCCACCTTTAGTATTGTATACAGTTCTGGTCTCCTTATCTAAAAAGGGATAAAATTGTCAAAGAGGGAGTTGAACAGTGGCTTACCAGAATAATCGCTAGGATCGTGGAATAATTTCATGAGGAGAGGTTGAGGAAACTGGGTCTGTATTTGTAGAGTTAAAAAGAAAGACAGGCGATTGCGTTGAAACTTAATAAAATTCTTACGGGTTGGATGTTGGATGTTTCTCCAGCATGAACCAGGGGGCATAATTTCAGGATGAGGTGCAGGCAATTTAAGACCGAATTGGCAGAGAAATTTCTTCACTCAGAAAGTGGTGAATCTTGGGATTCTCTATCCTGGAGGACTGTGAAGGCTCAATCATTGAGCAGGTTCAGGATGAAAATTGATAGGTTTCTGGAGACTCGTGACGTCAAGTAACATGAGGATAATGCAGGAAAGTGCAATTGAGGTAGATGATTAGCTATGATCAAGAATGGTGGCGCAGGTTCAATGTGCTGAATGGCCTACTTCTGCTGCTATGTCCAGTTCTGAATACCATACTTCAGGAAGGACATAAAGTATTAGAAAATGTGAAGAAGAAGCTTGAGAATTGTTCCAAGGTTGAGGAATTTCAATTATGAAGATAAATTGGAGAAGTTAGGACTGCTTCCTTGGAAGAGGCCAAGAAGAAATTTGATTGAAGCATTCAAAATCATGAGAGTTTCAAACAGAGTAAAATGGGAAGAAAATGTTCTCACTCATAAAAGGATTGGGAACAAGAAGACACTGTTTTAAGGAAATAGTAAAATAAGAAAAAGTAATTAGAAGAAATGCTGTTTCAAGCACAAGTGATTAGGATCTGGAATGCAATGTGTAAAAGGGTGGTAGAGATGGGTTCAATTGAGGCTTTCAGCAGGGAATTAGATGGTTATCTGAACAGGAGCAATTATAGAATCCCTACAGTGTGGGAACAGGACCTTTGGCCCAACAAGTCCACACTGGCCCTTGCAGCATCCCACCCAGACCCATCCCCCTATAATCCACACATCCCTGAACACTACAAGCAATTCAGCATGGCCAATCCACCTAACCTGCACATCTTTGGACTGTGGGAGGAAACCCATGTAGACGTGGGGTGAATATTGCAAACTCCACACAGACAGTCACCCGAGGGTGGAATTGAACCCGGATCCCTTGTGCTGTGAGGCAGCAGTACTAACCACTAAGCCACCGTGCCACCCCAACTAAAGACAATGGTCCATATGGGGATGTGCAGGATTATGGGGAGAAGGCAGGAATATGGCGTGGCAATCGGAGATCTGCTGATTTGAAAAGCCAGCCTAGACACATTGGGCCAAATGGCCTCATGAGTCTGTGATTATTTCTGGGAAACAAGTTGTAATGTTTACAGCTAATGGAGGCTGAAAAGAGGTAGAGAAAGAAACACTATTTCCCTTTATGCAATGACTTCACATGAACCAAATTCTCAACTCCTCATTCAGGTGCAGTGATCTCTCAATGCACGCTTTACTTCAATGGTTAGGCAGTGTATGAGGGTCAGACACTAGACAATAACATTGAAATTCTGAGGCAGGAACTGGTTAGTCAGTTTGTGTCAGAGGACATGAAAATAGCCAGAATTCAACATCCTTATAATGGAAATTAACCAATTTACATGTAAAATGTCATGACACAAACTTAGAAAATGTACTGAAGCTCAAGTGCTCTGATCCAAGGTTGTCACAAAAGGTAAAGATTTCATGAAATTACTCAAAGTTTCTCCAATTTAACTGTCTGGTAGACTCAAGTCAACAGACATCACTGACTATGGGTTTCTGTACTTAACAAGAAAATACAATTCATTATAAATAAATTCTAATAACAGGAAACAATGTATGAATTATCAACTCTTCTGGCTTAAGATCTATCCCTTTTCTAAGTTACTATTCACACATGCAGACAGACACAAACAAGTAAACAAACTAATATGGATCAGAGATAGTAGGAACTGCAGATGCTGGAGAATCCGAGACAACAAGGTGCAGGGCTGGATGAACACAGCAGGCCAAGCAGCATCATAGGAGCAGAGAGGCTGACGTTTCGGGCCTAGACCCTTCATCAGAAAAGGGGGAGGGGAAGGGGGTTTTGAAATAAATAGGGAGAGAGTGGGAGGCGGATAGAAGAGGGATAGAGGAGAGGATAGGTGGAGAGGAAACAAACAGGTTGAAGAGGCGGGGATGGGGCCAGGAAAGGTGAGTGTAGGTAGGGAGTTAGGAAGGGGATAGGTCAGTCCAGGGAGGACGGACAGGTCAAGGGGGCGGGATGAGGTTGGTCGGTAGGAGATGGAGGTGCGGCTTGAGGTGGGAGGAGGGGATAGGTGGGAGGAAGAACAGGTTAGGGAGGCAGGGACGAGCTGGACTGGTTTTGGGATGCGGTAGGGGGAGGGGAGATTTTGAAACTTGTGAAATCCACATTGATACCATTGGGCTGCAGGGTTCCCAAGCGGAATATGAGTTGCTGTTCCTGCAACCTTCGGGTGGCATCGTTGTGGCACTGCAGGAGGCCCAGGATGGACATGTCGTCTGAGGAATGGGAGGGGGAGTTGAAATGGTTCGCGACTGGGAGGTGCAGTTGTTTGTTGCGAACCGAGCGTAGGTGTTCTGCAAAGCGGTCCCTGAGTCTCCGCTTGGTTTCCCCGATGTAGAGGAAGCCACACCGGGTACAGCGGATGCAGTATACCACATTGGCAGATGTGCAGGTGAACATCTGCTTGATGTGGAAAGTCTTCTTGGGGCCTGGGATGGGGGTGAGGGAGGAGGTATGGGGGCAGGTATAGCACTTCCTGCGGTTGCAGGGAAAAGTGCCGGGTGTGGTGGAGCTGGAGGGGAGTGTGGAGCGGACAAGGGAGTCACGGAGAGAGTTGTCCCTCCGGAAAGCAGATAAAGGTGGGGAGGGAAAGATGTCTTTGGTGGTGGGGTCGGATTGCAGATGGCGGAAGTGTCGGAGGATGTTATTGGTAGAAGGAAAAATACCAGGCAAACACAGTTCAATTGCACTAGGCCACAGCATTCATTCACGTGACCCTTTTGTTTCATCTGATCACTGATCACTTTTCTAGATTCATTCATTTCTTTCTTAAAGATGCATGTAATTAACACATTATTTGTTCATCACTGGCTAGAGGCAACAGCAAATGATGGAAGATGTGAGGTTTTTTTTCAGTTTTTGGTTCCTTCACTGCACAGAGAGAAACAAAAAGAACCAGAGAGAAACACAGAGAGGCTGTTTCTTGCAGTCTAGAGATTTGTGTCTACCTCTGTATTGTTCACGCAGAAACTATCAACTTGTCCAGGAGTCAATCAGAGTGTTGCTGTCATGCTGATAAGTTTGGCCCCACACAACTGGTCCCAGTTGGACAACCAGTCTGTCTCTGGGTGACAAAATCACACCCACAATGCCATGAGATTTTAGATATATTCCCCACTGCTTGAATAATGTAACAATGTAAACACAACTCACAATGAGTTGCAGTAACTTATTTTCAAATAGGCAGCAACTCCTTCCATAGTCTTTCATTTATAGCAATCATTTTCCCATTTTGGTCTACAATTCAAAATAAAATACCAATGATGTGGTCTGTACAATGAACTGTCTAGAAGCAGGGAGAATTCTGATGTTTTATTTAGCACGGAAGGCTGAGCAGAGATTCCATGGCTCTTTAACATGTTTCACTTTATATTTCAGGACTTTGCAAAACTGATAAAAGCTGGGCGTTTGAAGCCAAAACGAACAGACATTAGCCCATACTGGATTGATGGAAGAGTCTACCTTTCTGAGTTAGCTCATGGGCTGCAAATGTATTATTACTGGACTCCCTTGTATGGCGATATAGATGAGGCAGCTTGTAATGCCAACACATACCTGCTGAAAGATCCAAATACTTCCTTAAGCCAGATCGATATAGAAGAATCTGTAGATACTTCCAGCATTGAAGGAAGCCAATCTTTCTAACGTCTTTCTGACAGCTCTTTCTAGCAGCTATTCAATGAACCCCATTCATCTGCTTTTTATCACTTCATAATCCTGAAAGTGTTCATTTTTAAAATATGCAATCAAACCCCTTTTGAAAGTTACCATTGAATCTACTCTACCAGCCCTTCAGACAGTACATTCCAGAGGACAACAACTCACCGCATAAAATGTATTCTCATCTCCCGTGATTCCTTTGCCAATTACCTCAAATCTATGTCCTTTAATTATTGATCCTTGTGCAAGAAGAAACAATTTCTTCTAGTTTTCTATTTTGAACTCCTCAATCAAATCTCATAACTTACTCTGCCTATGGAAAATAGCCAGATTCTCCTATCTCCCCATATATCTGAAATCCCTCGTTCCTGAAAACATATTTGTGAACCTCCTTCCTAAAGCATAGTGACCGAAAGTGAACACAATACTGCAGCAGAGCCTGAACCAGTTCTTTATAAAGTGTTTACCACAAATTGCTTGGTTTTGCACTCTGTGCCTCAATTTATTAAGCCAAGGATTCAGATGTCTGTTTAACAACTTTAACTTGTCACCTCTAAGGATTTCTGTACGATAAAACCCAGATCCATCAGTTTGCACACCTGCTTTAAAATTGAACCATTTAAACGTATGTAGCCTCAGATTGTTTGAAGTAAGTAGTATTGGTATAAATATTAACCTCAATTTAACCTCATTTGTATCAATGGGATATTGTTGTTTGTACTAATTTCTAATTTAGTATAAATTAGATTAAATGCCATGTTTAGTATTGTTGAAACTCACACCTAATGAACCTCAGGGTCAATATTCCCTCTAAGCATGGCTGCACAGACACTCAGAAGGTCTACGCATGACCTCCTCTTCTGGAAGCCACTGCAATGTATGGGCCTCAGAGGTCTGCACAGCAGCAAATAAAATTAAAGGAAACATAGTTCAGGATGCCTTACTACTGTAATTGGGTGTACCAACCACAAGATGCACTGCTGCAACTCATAAAGTCTCTTTTGACAGTAACTTCCAAATTCGCAGTGTCTACCATGTAGAAGGACAAGATCAAGAGAAACAAAGGAATACCACCACTTGCAAGTTCATCTCTAGGTTGCTCATCATCGTGACTTGGAAATATATTGGCACTGGATCAAAATCCTGGAATTCATGGCTGACCATCCAATTCAATACTCTGTTCCTTTCTCCCCGTACCCCTTTATCCCTTTAGCTCTAAGAACTATATCTAACTTCTTGAAAACATTCAATGTTTTGGCCTCAACTGCTTTCTGTGCAGAGATCAAAATTATTGCCTTTGCCACAAATTTCATCCCATATCTACCAACTCCCCCTCACTCGTTAGAAATTGTCTGAAGTAGAGTTAGACTGCTTGCAAACTTGGTGTCATACCTTACCTCAAAATGAGCTTCCAACTATGTGCCTGTGCCTTCACTATAACTATTTCGACCATATACAAGATCCAGTGCAAAAATTCACCAAAGATCCTTAGACAGCATCTTCTAAACTGGCAACCACTTCCATCTAGAAGGGCTAAGGGCTGCAGATGCATGGGAACACTACTACCTGCAAGATCCCCTCTAAGGCACTCACTATCCTGATTTGGAAATATACCTTCAGTGTCGCTGGGTCACAGTCCTGGAATTCCTAACCTAACAGTGTTGTGAGTCTACTGACAGCACATGAACTGCAGTGGTTCAAGAAGTCAGTTCACCACGACCTTCTGAAGACAACTAGACATGTGAAATAAATGACAGCCCAGCTAGCGATGCCCCCCACATTGCATGAGTGAATAGAAAAAAAATTCTTCCCTGTATTCTGCCAGTCGATAAAGGCTGCTAGTTTTTGTTCTAGGAGCTCACATAATTCGTTGATGTGCCAATGCTTTAAGCTAGTGTTTGATGACAAAAACACTCTGAAAGTCAACAAAAATCCCAAAGTACAGAGCAGTTGTCATACACTGCAATGAGACCCGGACTGTCTATCACCAACACATAAGAGCGTGAGCGAAATTCCACCAGTTAAGCCTCTGGCACATTCTCCGGATTCAATGGGAGGATTCTTAAATAAATGCTAGTGTCATTCTTAAAGTCACAAGCATTCAGACTTAAATCCTGCAAATTAGTTCAGATACTGAAAAATGATTCCCCCAGGAAGTTATATCTTTTCAATTGGTCAGTTTTGGTGGTGGGGGTGGAGTGGGATGGGCGTTGGAGGTGAGAGAGAAAGAAAATACCACCAACGGCAGCTCATCACCACCTTCCCAAGGAGCAACGAGGGACTGGGAACAAATACTGTGCCAGCCAGCAGCACTCACATCCAATGAATGAATGAATTAAAAGCAAGAGGAATCAGACAACTCCCTCAGTAATGCAGCTCCTGCTCTGGTTCCTACCCTGGGTTGTGTTGATTTCTGCTGAGTCATCGCGTCTCTAGTCTCCATGGAAACGCCCTCCCGCCGCGAGCTGAAACTCACAAACCTGGATAAGGTGGGGGGAATCTGAGAGGCTTTGACGGGGCTGTGGGCTGGCAGTTTTTTTGGGGGGGGGCGTGTTTTGTGACGGTGTGAGGTTTGAAGAAGTAGCTTGACTCCCTACACTGGATATTTGAGGGGTGTTTGTGTGTGTGTGTTGGGGGGGGGGGGGGGTGGGGTTGGGGGGGGGGGGGTGTTTGGGTGTGTGTTGGGGGGGTGGGGGTTCCGCTGCTCCCAGATGTTGGCAGTGGGACTGCAGCAATTTTCTTGCGCCCCCGCCCAGGGGAGTGGGCGCTATGTAAATGAAGGTGCAGATGTCCCGCTGGTACTGCGGGGCCGAGTCCTGTTCCAGGATTTTGGGGAGATGCAGTTGCCGAGGTTCCCGCCCGCCATCTTCCAGCTGCAGCATCTGGAGGAGTTACACCTGGAGGGGAACCGCATCGAGGAGATCCCGCCGCAGATCGGGCGCTTGCGGAAGCTGCGGGTCCTGTACCTGAACGGCAACAGGCTGCAGGAATTGTGCGAGGAGCTGAGCGAACTGCAGCGCCTGCAGAGCCTCGATCTGAGCGAGAACCCGCTCAACTGCAGCGCCCTCACCCACACCCTGTGCCGCCTGCGGGACCTGCGGGAACTGCGCCTGTATCACATCAACCTCAAGCAGTTCCCAGGCCAGCTCTGCAAGAAACTTCACCACCTGCAGCTGCTGGGCTTGTCCAGGAATAAGCTGGAGTCGCTGCCCTGGGAAATCAGCAGCCTCAGGGAACTGCAGCGACTTTACCTGCAATCCAACAACTTGCAGGTTTTACCCGCCGGCTTCTGCCAGCTGCACCATTTAGAGGTCTTGGATCTCAGGGAGAATGCAATGATTTACCTCCCAGAGGATATCAACTGTTTGCAAAACCTGAAACACTTGTACCTCGCCGATAACAACCTAGCTTTTATTCCACAGGCGATGAGCGGCTGCAGCAGCCTATGTGTGTTAGACATCAGCAGGAATCATCTGGACGCGAACCACCTCTGCTCACTCCCAGGTTCTCTGGCCGAACTTGACCTGTCCGATAACCTTCTGCACACAGTCCCGACTGTCATCTGCGAGCTCGGCGCCGCCTTACAGCTACTCTACCTGAAAAACACGCACATACGGAAGCTCAGCTGCTGCTTCTCCGAGTTAACAGAACTTCGCCTTTTAGATCTCAGTCAAAATGTTCTCCGGTACTTTCCGAAGCAAATCTGCAGCCTGGGCCAGCTGGAGGTTCTGTCGTTGGATGACAGCAAACTGAAAGAGGTACAGAGCTTCCTGGTCAGAATCGAGCACAACAGAGGGTGAGGGTGTGGAGAGAGATCGGGAGGAGGCAGCACGGGGAGTTAAGGGTTGGGGTGGCGCAAAAAGAACAGACCTCGTAGATATTTTCTAATCAACCTATTCAGAGATGTTATTACACAGCTCTGGAGCAGGATGTTAGCTTGAACGTGGGCTGCCTGACTCAAAGGGCCACACTACCACTGCACCACAAGAACCCCCTACAAGGCAATTAGCAGTAAGAATCTTACTGGAGATTCCATAAGATTCCTGGAGGCCAGAATTCAAATGCTAAGAGCTTTAGCAGCCATAATATAGCAGATGGGAAGTTGGCTTCTACCAACAGAGAGTGATGTTAAAGATGCTAAAGGCATTGGTCAACCGTAAGATGGATATTGTGTGTCATTTGAGGATTGCAGAAAGAAGGGATGGTAGATAAATTTGCCAATGACACCAAGATGGATGGAAAAGGGAGCTGTCAAGAGGAGCCCAGCAATGGTGGCAAAGTTTTAATGTCACAGAACTGGTAATCCAGTAGCCCAGGATCATTTCTGAAGAAGGGTCCAGACCCAAAACGTCAGCTTTCCTGCTCCTCCGATGCTGCCTGGCCTGCTGTGTTCAGCTAGCTCTACACCTGAGTTACCCAAATTTTGTTCCATTTAAGTTGCTGGAAAAGCTCAGCAGGTCTGGCACATCTGTGAAGGAGAAAACAGAGTTAACGTTTTGGGTCCGGTGACCCTTCCTCAGAACTGGGACAAAAACAAAGTTGCTGGAAAAGCTCAGCAGGTCTGGCAGCATCGGTGAAAGAGAAAACAGAGTTAACGTTTCAGGTCCGGTGACCCTTCCTCAGAACTATACACCCTCTACACCTTGTTAGCCCAGGATAATGCTTTGGGAACATAATCCCACCACAGTGGCTGTTGGCATTTAAATTCAGTAATAAATCTGGAATATGCACACTATTGCCACTAACAGTACCCGTGAAGCTGTCATTGATAGGCATAAAAACCAATGGGTTCACCAATGTTCTTTAGGAAGGGAGATTTGTTGTCTTTATCCAGTTTGATGTACATGTGAGTTAAATATCTAAGTTCTGAGGAAGGGTCACAGGACCCAAAATGTTAACTCTGATTTTTCTTCACAGGTGCTGCCAGATCTGCTGAGCTTTTCCAGCAACTTTTGTTTTGGATCTACATGAGACTCTAGATGCTCAGCAATGTGGTTGACTCATAGCTGCCATCTGACATGGTTGAGGAAGCCACTTAGTTCAAGGGCAATTAAGGATGGGCTTTGCTGGTGACATTTGAATTAAGTGTAGAAAAACAAATGTAACGAGCTTACAAAGGAATATAGATGGGTTAAGTGATTGAGCTAAAATCTGACAGTGGAACAAAATTTGGGAAAATGTGAATTTATCCACTTTGGCAGAAAGAATAGAAAAGCAGATAATTATTTAAATGGAAATTGACTGCAGAACTCAGTGGGATCTGGTGCCCTTGTACACCAAAGGTTAGGATGCAACTAAAGCAAGTCATTCGGAAAGCAAATGGAATGTTGTCATTTATTGTGAGAGGAATGGAATATAAAAACAGTGATGTTTTGCTCCAGTTGTATACAGTGTTCATGAGGCCACATCTGCAGTACTGTTTAGAGTTTCTATCCTCTTACTTGGAAAAAATTGTAAATGTTTATAGAGCAGGTTAATGTCTCATTCTTACAATGAAAGATTTATCTTATGAAAAGGGGTTGGGCAAGTTTGACATGGACTAGCTGGTATTTAGAAGACTAAGAAGTAAACTTATTGAAATATATGCAATCTTAAGAGGACTTAACAGGGTGGATGTTGAAAGGATGTTTTCTCTTGTGGAAGAGACTAGAACCGGGGGCATAGCTTA